TGATTTGAACCATTCTAAGGCCATTCTTCTAATTCCATAATAATACATTTTTCCTAATAATCTTTCTCTGTCTATTGTTTCAAACGCTCTCTTAAGATCCATGAAAATTATACCTGCCATTTTTCCTTCGCTTACTATTAATTTCCATTCGTCAATGACAGTTTGAATCGCTGTTTCACACGAGTAATATTTTCTAAACCCCGACTGATGTTCTGTTATAATATCGTTAGTTTCCAAATACATTTCAAGTTGTTCTTTTACTACTAATTCTAACACTTTTTCAAATATTGGTAACATATTTATAGGCCTATAATCGCTCGCTTTTTTCGCTTTATCTATCTTTGGAATCGGTATTATCGTAGAGGTTTTCCAACCTTCCTGACAGAGACCTTCTCTTAAAGAATTGTTTATTATATTCGCAAATTCCTCTTTTATTACAGAAAAAGTTGTCCTCAATATATCGCTAGTTATTCCCTCTTCCGTACCTTTCTTTTTCGGCAATCCCATAACAATTTTTTCTAACTGCTTTAGTTTAATAGTCACGAAATTTTCCATAAATCCTTTATTTTCGATAATATAAATAATTTTCTTATTTATATTCATCCAATGTTCGATTATATCACCGGATCTAACGACCTTTATAGAGTTTATTATACTATTAATACTTTGTATATAATATAAATTAAATTTATCAGCTATATTGCACTCTTCGAAATCGCCTAAAATTTCAAAATCTATATTTCCTACTTTTTTTATGCCTACTGGCTCGCCTCTAATTATTTCTTTCAAGGTTTTCCACATAGACGTAGGATTTTCTTTATTAAGATCTATCATATTTTCATAATATTCTTTTTTCTTCTCCCTAATTAATTTTACTACTGTATTTCTTTCAATTTTATACTGCGACCAATTTTGTTCGGTATCGTCATACAATGCTCTTCTATATGCCTTATCCCTTCTATCCGCAGCCTCTTTTATTTCGTCTGAAAACCATTTCTTCCCTTCCCAAACTTTCGGAATTCTAAATTTTTTCCTCGGCGCCATTACATCTAACGCACCCACTATACTATCGACAAGTTTTTTCGCCCTCTCACTGACACCCATACATTCACACTGACATTCCTGGCTTTCTTGTAATTTATTTTTCACTAATATAGCAAATTTATTTTCATCAAACTCTTTATAATTCCTAGCACTAAATTCTCTATATTTACTTTCAGTTTTACTAACACTCAGCTCAACTTTCAGCCACGCGTGATCCGTAATTTTAGGTTCATGAATTACCTGTACTATTTTATTATTATTAGCGAAGATCAAATCTATAATTGTCTGACTGTCTTTCGTAATTCTCGTCGGTTCGTTAACATATTGTTTCATACCTAAGCTTAGCATTGTCGTTTGCAGTTTATTCGCATAAAACGAATCTCTCATAAGATCTATATTAAAATCTCCTATTACCATGCATTCTCCCTTTATTATAAACTCTTCTACTATATCCTCGAAAAATCTCAAGAAATCTCCGTGCGATGCGCTCGGTGAGTGATATATTAGCATTATCACTCCTTTATATAATTTATCTTTTACTTCTACCGCAACACACCAACAATTCGATTCTAATTTTTTTTTTCCCTCTAATACTATTTTATATTTAATATCGCTTCTAACGTATAAAATAACTCCTCCCGTATGCCTATTCTCAGCATTACATCTAACTATACTATAACCCGGAACGTTCACTTCACTGTCTTCGATATCCTCAGTCACTCTGGTCTCCGATAATGCTAAGAACGCAGGATTTATTTTCTTCATGATCTGATGTTGTATCTCATCTCTGTGCGCAATTAAACTTTGCGCATTTGTATATAGTATTATCTCCGCTTCTTCCTGTGGTTGCTATTTAGCGTCCTCCCAGCCTGCTCTCCTCTTCTCCTCCCGTAGCGCCCTCTTAAAGGTCGGACATTCCGGACTAAGGGCGTCATGGTCGCTTATATTCAGATTGTATGTTCGATTTTTGAACATACAATTCACACATTTCTTCTTTGTCGCTGTACAATCACGCGAGTTGAGACTTCCTGCACATTTATAGCATGCTTCCTCTCGCGTACAATTTTTTGCAATATGATAATATCCCCAGCATTTGAAACATCTTTTAACATTGATGTGATTAAATACAGGACACTTCTTCCATCCTACACTTAGCTTTCCTTTCTTCAATATCAGCTCATGTGTCTCTTCATCTGCTTCTATTATTATTGACCCTTCTTCATTTCCTTTTCTTTCAGATTGATTATTTCTCCTTTCTTTGATCATTCTCTTCACAATTCGCATATTTGCTGTATCTATTTTATTCTGCATCTTTATCGTATTTATAAGTTCATTATCATCTAATTTCATCTCTTCTACACCTATATTAATAATTTTTATCTTTGGTTTCGATTGAGGCGACTCTATCACTTTATAATTTTCTCCCAGCTTAGCTTGAACTGTCTCCTTCAATTTTTTCACCTCCTCGCCGGTTTCACAACCCACGATCACTGTTCCCTTGCTACCTTTCCTTAATTTCGTTATTCTCATAGCCATACTCTTAATATCCACCTTTTCTTTTATCAATTTTTTAGTGGCTTCACTCTCTTGTTGCATTTTCGGCTTAACAATTATAACGTTTTAGTAAAGAGAAGACGAGAGAGAGCGAGAGAACGCGAGAGAGAAACCGGGAGAGCACGAGAGAGAGCGATAGAGAGCGTGAGAGAGCGGGAGAGAGCAAGAGAGAGTGAGAGAAGACGAGAGAGAGCGAGAGAACGCGAGAGAAAGCGAGAGAAGGCGAGAGAGAGCGAGAGAAAGCGATAGAGAGCGGGAGAAAGCGAGAAAGACCGAAAGAGAGCGAGAGAAAGCAAGAGAGAACGAGAGAGAGCGGGAGAGAACGAGAGAAGGCGAGAAACAGCGAGAGAGCGAGAGAACGCGAGAGAGTGCGAGAGAGAGCGGGAAAGAGCAAGAGAGAGCGAGAGAGGGCGAGAGAGAGCGAGAGAGAGCGATAGAGAGCGGGAGAGAACGAGAGAAAGCGAGAAACAGCAAGAAGAAGCGAGAAAGCGAAAAAAACTGAGAGAGAGAGCGAGAGAAGACGAGAGAGAGCGGAAGAGGACGAGAGAAGGCGAGAAACAGCGAGAGAAAGCGAGAGAGGGCGAAAAAAACCGAGAGAGAGAGCGGAAAAGAGCAAGAGAGAGCGAGAGAGAGCGATAGAGGCCGAGAGAGCGCGAAAGAGAGCGATAGAGGGCGTGAGAGAGCGGGAGAGAGCAAGAGAGAGCGAGAGAGAGCGGGAGAGAGCAAGAGAGAGCGAGAGAACGCGAGAGAGTAATCGGGAGAGCACGAGAGAGAGCGAGAGAAGACGAGAGAGAGCGAGAGAACGCGAGAGAAAGCGAGAGAGAGCGAGAGAACGCGAGAAAAAGCGGGAGAGAGCGAGAGAACGCGAGAGAGCGGGAGAGAGCAAGAGGGAACGAGAGAGAGCGAGAGAGAGCGAGAGAGAGCGATAGGGAGCGATAGAAAGCGGGAGAGAATGAGAGAGAGCGAGAATTTATTTTTCGTTTGGTTGCTAAAAAGGTTAAGCAACTGAGGAAAATGTCACTATACTAGGATGGGTGACCGCGGATAAAGTAAAGCAGCTTCGGACAGAATCACTTTGTCGGGATGGGTGATCGGGACAAGTACGACGCCGTATCTTAAAAAAAAGTGACACCTTTTCGACCAAAAAATAACTTGAAAAATTCATATCTCCGCAACCAATAGAGCTATCAAGTTCGTTAAGGTCTCATTTTACTCGGAAAAAATCGCGCTTTCGATTGATATGGTCATCTTTTGAAAAATATGTTTCCGTTCATGAAATATTTCAAATTTTTGTTTTGAAGGTTACGAAAATCGTGTTACGTCCGGTAAAGGATACACAGTAGCGTCCTACGGGTAATTTTCGCTATTGTTTCGATATTTTCGCTATCTTTTCGATATCTTTAGATATTTTTTTTTTGTTTTTTTGTAGATTGTATTTTAATTTGACGAATGAAAGATATAACTTAGCGAGACGCTACCGCGTCTCCTGATATATATATATATTGTATATACTAATAATAAAAAGAAAAATAATGTCAATATTATAAACATACCTATTTTATTGTTCATAATTGCACTATTTCTTTCTTTTTTTCTTTATTTATTCTTTATCCTTTCTTAACTCTTTTATATTGTATGTTTAATTTCCTTTGCATTTATCCTTTGCATGTGTATCCTTTGTATGCATCAATTTAAATTAAATGGGTGTAAAAGTAAATGATGTGTTAACTTAACTGAAAATAATAAAGAAATACAACACAAAGTATCCTTATTCAAATTAATATTCAAAGTTGGAATAGGATTGTTTTATAAAACTTATCTGAAGAAAATTCTGCTTTTTGATTCCTTCTTTTCTCTAATTTAATTTTAATAATTTTCTCTTATATATATAATGTGGACATACTGCATAATAAATCTTCTATTTCATATGGTACAATTTATCTTCTAATGTAATTTGTTTTGTTTTATATAATGAACACGTGAATATATTTCATTTACATAAATATTTTCATTTCATTGAGATTCTGAAATTAAATAAAAAAGTATTAAAAAAATATGATTCAGAATATTTGCGATAATAATATTACATGTACCTCTCATATAAAATAATAAAAAAATTAGAAAAAAAAATTTTAACAATACGGGGTTTTGAACCTGGGTTCTCATGGTTACTAGTCCCGCACTTATCCACTCCGCCATACAGCCCCAATCGAAAACATAAATTTTGTCGTATATTTTTTAAACAGTAAGTAGGTTAGAACAGGTGAGCCAATTGTTGAATTTGATTCACACTAGACATAGTCGTACGTATGTCGTACTATTTCACTTTTAAAAGGTAGCGGGCATTACATTTTGATTCAAATTCACTTTGTTTACTACGATTAAGGTAGCAACGCATAAATATGTCTCGTAAGTATAATTTATTATTAATTTTGTATAATAATTATAATTAATCACTTTTTTATCTTGCCGTACATCTTTTTTAAATAGAATTATTTATATAAAATTATCATATTTTTTTCAGAAAAATCAGATGATTTACTAATGGAGACGGACGAAGAGCCGATGCTGCTCATTCTCCGGCAAATGCTGGAGGAGCAGCGACAAGCGCGGCGAGAGATGCAGGCGATAGCATTGCTCCACAGCAGCTACAACAACAGCAACCGCAGCAGCAACAGCAACCGCAACAACAACCGCAGCAGCAACCGCAACAGCAACCGCAGCAGCAATCGCAACAGCAACCGCAGCAACAGCCGCAGTCGCAGTCGCAGCCGCAATCGCAGCCGCAGTCGCAGTCGCAGCCGCAATCGCAGCCGCAGTCGCAGCCGCAGTCGCAGCCGCAGTCGCAGCCGCAGTCGCAGCCGCAGTTGTACAATGAAAGTACGTGTTGTCTATAATTTTTTTCTAAACACACACACGTATACATGTAATATATACAATTTTACTACTATATTTCAGATTTATTCAGATATAGACGAGAAGCCGGGCGAGCGAGGGCTCGATGGTATAACCAAAGAGGAGGGCATTTTTATGGCCGTGGTCGCGGACGCGGCAGTCACGGTGGCCGCGGTGGTCGCGGTGGCCGCGGTGGTCGCAGTGGCCGCCATATAATAATAAAAAATTACTATATGAATTGACATTATTATTATAAGTATTATATTATTATTATTATTACTATTATTATTATTATTATTATTATTATTATTATTATTATTATTATTATTATTATTATTATTATTATTATTACTTTTACTACTATTACTATTACTACTATTACTATTACAACTAATACTACTATTATTATTCATATAACTTTTAATATATTTACATTAATATTATAAATATAAAAAAATATACATTTATTTAATGCATTTTGTTTAATGATCTTTGCAAAAATATGTGAAATCTCACAAAAAAAGACATCACAGATGTAAAAAAAAGCGCTGTTATATCTTTCGCCAGCAAAAAAATAGTTCTTTATAATAATAAAAAATATAATCTTCTCAAAAATTATGTTTATAGCCAAAATAATTCTTTGCAAAAATTAATCATTATCAAAAATATTTTCTCAAAAATTATATTTATAAATTATATTTTATTTTTGTTAATAATACTAGAAAAAAATTAAAATATTAGCATCAAAAAGTAGTGAAATCAAAAAATTGCGCTAAATAATTATATTGATAATACGAGAAAAAAGGTTAAAATATTAGCATCAAAAAGTAGTCAAATCAAAAAGTTGCACTAAGTAAGTGACAACATAATATATAATATTTAGATAAATTTCCTATAATGATACAAATGTATAATTATTGCTTTATTTTAAAACGTATATAATATATACAATAACAAAATAAATTCAGTAAAAATATATATATATATATATATATATTCATCTTTACATTTAAATAACATGAATAATTATGTAATTAATTTAAACTGGAATGTATATACATTGTAAAGTTATTATATATTTTTATAAAATATTTAGATAAATAGATATATATAATAAAATAAATTATTTATCTCTAAATAATTATTTAATTCAAATATATTTAAACGTATATTCAAAAAGGTAATATAAGGCACAAAGAATTAAATTTAGGAAATTAAAAAAATTTAAAGTTAAATAAAAATTTTTAATTTAAATTAAAAAATAAAAGTAAAAAAATGTAATGTACAAAAAATACTTAGCGCTGTTTTTGTATTGTTATTTTAACACATTAGTAAATAAAATAAAATATAAATCAAAGTATAGACTAATTTTTTTACTGCAATACGCTTCAATAGAAATCTATAAACATATTACGTGGCTCGATATTCGAATGACATGTGGCTAGCTGAACATATTGATATACATGTATGAAATATATGTATATAATGTAACATGCAATAATTGTCATATTAAACAGATTCAACGATTGGGCAATGTGAATGGGCTAAGTGAAAATTATAAAAATGAATTTACTATACATTAATATATGCTAAAGACGTATACATATATATGTTATTAATATATGTATACCAGGGTTGGGAAGTAACGAGTTACTTGTAACGAAGTTACAGTTACAGTTACATTTTTTCGGTAACTTAACTTCGTTACTTTTCTCCATCTGTAACTGTAACTGTAACTTAGTTACATTTTTTTAGTAACTAGTAACTATTTTAATAGTTACTTTATTAGTTACTTTTTTTGGAAACATGCGCTAAAAGTATTGTTTAAGTATGGTAGCCGTTATATTATTAAATTAAATGTTGATAACAGTAGCATATGGATCTTTATATGATTTAATCTTTTACCTAAAATTTTCATTTTGTGTACATAAAATAATATAACACATAATTAAGATCGACCAATCACAGTCAAATATTTAAAAAAATTCTTAAGGTAATAATTGATCGATTTGCTTGCGACTTTGCGATTACCATTTAGTAACTTACTATAACTATTTTTACTGTTGTATATAAAGATCATTCATACATTGATGTTAATTGCAAAGTCGCAAGCAAATCGATCAATATTACATTCAAGAATTTTTTTAAATACTTGACTGTAATTGTGTGCATAAAATGTAAGCTCCTTATATTTAAAACAATGTATAATTATTTTTAAAAAGTAACTGAAAAGTAACGACTCGTTACTTTTAGAGTAACTGTAACTGTAACAAGTTATTTTTTAAAATCGGTAACTTGTAACTGTAACTAGTTATTTTTTCAATGAAATAACTGTAACTGTAACTAGTTACTTTTACAAAGTAACTTTCCCAACCCTGATGTATACATATATTAATTAATGTATATGGAGCATTTCAAAGTGTTTAATTGATCAATCAAAATATAAATGAATAAAAATTTCTTTATCCTGATACATGTTTTAAAGCATTTGCAATGTTTTCCTGATCGCAATCAAAGTTTCGAGATAGATGTTTAAAGCGCATTATCTTCATTATGAATTTTTTTATAAAAAAAGGTTCACATATAATTTCATGATTCTTTAATTTTGACTTATTTTGACTTCATCATTTCACTCTCCAAAGATAGGATGCGACTTCTGTGTGTGATATATTCTGTATATACACATTTCGTTACTAATCATTATTTTTAAGGACGTTTCGTAGTCAAAGGGCTATAATACAAAAACAGCGCTAAGTATTTTTTGTACATTACTTTTTTTTTACTTTTATTTTTTAATTTAAATTAAAAATTTTTATTTAACTTTAAATTTTTTTAATTTTCTAAATTTAATTCTTTGTGCCTTATATTACCTTTTTTGAATATACGTTTAAATATATTTGAATTAAATAATTATTTAGAGATAAATAATTTATTTTATTATATATATCTATTTATCTAAATATTTTATAAAAATATATAATAACTTTACAATGTATATACATTCCAGTTTAAATTAATTACATAATTATTCATGTTATTTAAATGTAAAGATGAATATATATATATATATATATATATATTTTACTGAATTTATTTTGTTATTGTATATATTATAAACGTTTTAAAATAAAGCAATAATTATACATTTGTATCATTATAGGAAATTTATCTAAATATTATATATTATGTTGTCATTTACTTAGTGCAACTTTTTGATTTGACTACTTTTTGATGCTAATATTTTAACCTTTTTTCTCGTATTATCAATATAATTATTTAGCGCAATTTTTTGATTTCACTACTTTTTGATGCTAATATTTTAATTTTTTTCTAGTATTATTAACAAAAATAAAATATAATTTATAAATATAATTTTTGAGAAAATATTTTTGATAATGATTAATTTTTGCAAAGAATTATTTTGGCTATAAACATAATTTTTGAGAAGATTATATTTTTTATTATTATAAAGAACTATTTTTGCTGTAACTTATAGTAAATTTCATTTAAATTCTTACTTTTTAATATTTGATAAGTTATAATAAGTGCCTTCCTATGCCTTCTGTTCAATAGATTTATAATTATATAAATACTTTTAGGTGAACTATATTAAATTTTTGACATTTTGACTTAATTAAGCGTATTGAAGTAATTAACACGTGGCAGTCGATCATCGTGGCGCACATGCTTTGCGCAGTGCGCGCGTGCTCAAGTGGGTTAGCAGCTTGGCTTATACTTGCTGTCAATCTGTCATTGGTCATTATAATAAACCGCGGAAATTTGATTTATATAACAACTGAATAATATCAGTGACACAGTTATGAGTGACCATATTAATTATTAATTAATAAGATATAAGATTTATGGACAAATTAAGGAATATGAATACCTTATAAGAATACTAGGTTAATTAAATAGTTATTGGTTTAACAATTAGTTATTGGTCTGATAATTAGTGACTTTATTATTAATGTGATAATAGACATTGATATGCATTAATTACTTCAATTAGTCTGGATTGATAATCGTATAAGAAACTTTCTAATGATAAGTCCTATTAGTGCTTCTGTCATATTTGTTGCTCTTCTGGAGGAGGATATTGTCGCTTTTCATCTGAAATAAGAGAAGGAATTTTAGTGTTAATTCAGTTCTTTTCACTACATTAATCTCTTATAGTTAGAATATTATGCTAAAATACATAATAGTTTACGTACTCCAAGATTTACATATGTGTATATTTATACGGTATATGTATTTCGTTAAGTCGGATGTATTAAAATTGATGATGATTGCTCTGATGTCATCTTTAGACTCTGAATGGGACCCTGTTGAATAAAACAATATTATTATTCTAATTTGGAATATGGTGTTAAATAGTTATTTGCTGTATGATGAACTTCTTGTGGACATGATTTAATATTAACAATACTAGGTATATCGAACTTACTGAAATAGACCAGTTAAATTAGTATCTGACTTTAAATTGAATAGATTTTAATTAATTAGTCAATGATAAACAATAAGTTGTGAAATAATAATAATACAGTCGTGACTTTCTTCTATTTTGCATCTGCATTGTGATGTGTTATAATAAATAATCATTATTATTGTATTTAATGGTCTGATTTCGGATATAAGACTGCACTGATTGAATAATGTTTCGACCAAAATAACTGTGACTTTCCTTTAATCTAAACATTGAAAGTTGTAATTGCAATACAACATGCTCTCTTCAGGATTTACTGAAATATATAAATCGGATTAGTATCTGTCTTTAAAATTAAATAGACTTCTAGTTTGTTAATTAGTGATAATTAATAAACTGTGAATTAGTAGTAAAATGGCTGTGACTTTTTCTTCTACTTCTGTATTTGAACTGTGATGTGTTACAGGGAATAATTATTATATTATTCTATTGTTAATATCACTGAACAATTAGTTTTGTTATTTCATTAATTCAGTATTATTAATATCAGATATGTTATATATAACTAATTCTGGTTAAAATTATATGTGGAGTGTGATGAAAAACTTAGCTTGATCATTGTTCTGTTCGGATAAATGAAATTCTGTATTCCAAGTGAAATAAGACTCATATGTAGGAGATTGTTGTTGCAATATAACACGTTCTCTTCAGAATTTGCTGAAATAAACAAATTGAATTAGTATTTAACTTTAAATTATATAGACTTTAGTTAATTAGGTAACGATAAACAATAAACTGTGTAATAATAATAAGATGGTTGTGACTTTTTCTATTTTACATCTATACTGTGTTGTGATATAATGAATAATTATTGTATTATTCTATTACTATTATTAAATATTTAATGAACTAATTTTGGATACAAAGACTACTTTGAATGTATAAGTGTACTGGCTAAAAAGCTGTGACTTTCTTTTAACATCTAAATTAAAGACTTACTGAAATATACATATCTGATTAGTATGTGACTTAAATTGATTAGACTTTTAGTTAATTAATTAATGATAATCAATAAGATGTGAAATAGTAGTAAAATAATGGTGTCTTTCTTCCACTTTTACATTTGCACTGTGATGTGTTACAAGAAATAATCATTGTATTGTATTATTCTATTAATAATAATCCAAGACATAAATAATGAACGCTAATGCAGTAGACTTACAGTTATGAAAATAATTAATATGTGCATACTGGTGTTTTGATATATATGCATATATTATCTTAAGTCGGTGAAATACGTTGTGGATATGGACCTCTTGGAAATCATGATCACTCATGGCTTGTATAATGCTCCTGAGATTTATTAGACTTCTGGCGATTTACCATCTGGTTGTTGTCATCACCTAGATAAGTGAAACAATTGTTATTGTGTGTAGTGAATAAGTAGAAATATGTGCTGAGATATGCAAAGTTATTTCACTATACAAGTTGTCAATGACTAAAAGATCCTTGTTTTAGATATCGTAAATTTCAATATTTGAATATTGTTAATAAACTTTAATATTTAGATATCGTTATAACAGATTAATATAGCCTGTGATGGTGAAATACATTTTCATATTGTAAAGACAATAGTAATCCTATGGATTATTAATTAGATACTAGACTCTTGCATTAAAGGTCAGTTTGATAGTCTTTTTGTGCAGGACTTGGAGGGGACAATGAATTTGCTTATTAGGTCTTGAATGAGCATTGAATATATATGGACATAATTTAAATACTTATTATCTAGTATTTAGTACTTGTGTTATATCATGGACAGACTTTTCATAGACTTATATGATAATAGTTGAATACCCAAATATTAAAAGATTATTGTGTCAGAATTGTAGTGAAATATTAACTAATTATATTGTGATATACTAATCTGATCCTTTTGTACACTATAATTTGCTGATTAGTCTTGATAAGATGATCTTCAGTAATTCTGTAATTAGCAGGAAATTCAAATATTTAGTACCTTATCTCTAAGCTAGACAATTACATGTGACTTTCAGTTTTTGGTGATAAAATAGTGAACTTAGGTATAAAGATTTTATACTTACACACATATACATATATGGAACGTATGTGTTGATTGATTTTATCCTTGCATATTTCAGACGTTTTTTGTCATTTAGGGTCAGTTATGACCTTACTGTGTAGCATTGTGATGAGATGATGATGATTTGTCCATTATAAACAATGGATAAATATATATTGACGTTATCTAAAACATTTTAGTACTTAGTACTTATACTAAGTTATAAACATACTTATATGACAATCTTGAATAATCTAATAATTGATTATTATTATTTTGTCAAAATTAAAGTGATCTACTATCTAAATTATTGTGACAATTACATTTATTTCAATTCTTTCAAACACTAATGATTGATCTTAATAATATGATAATATTGAAATTTGAAACTATTTGAGACTAAGATAAAGTTAATTTAATATATCATTTAAATTAGGTAACTTTATAATAGTGTGTTACTCAAGATACAAATAGTTAATTAACGCCAAATCAAATAAACTCACAATTATAAATGTGTAAATTTTGGTGCTTTGATGAATGTGCATACATCGCCTTAAGTTGGAGAAATGCTCTGCGGATGTTTCTAGACCTGCGTTGGCAATTGGCTTCCTACTGACTGTATCATGTTCCTGGGGATTCTTTAGAGACTCCTGAGAATTCTTTGTGGGACACTTCCATCCGGATGCTGTCATCACCTTTTTTTTTGTGACGCTGGGGAAACGGTCATGCTACCACACACCCCCGGGTAGGGGTGTGGGTTATGTGGGACTCCTTGTTCCCCTTGGTCGAGCCACGAATGGTTCGACCAGGGGGCCCAAGACCTACCTCACTAAAACCCCAGCGGGTGTCCATCTCGGGCGTTGGATAGAGGACGGCGAGGATGCTGAAATTCCATGCCGTCCCGCCGCTCCCCCGCCAAGCCATCTCCGGAGAGCTGCCTTAGCCTTGCGGCCAAGACCCCTCCCCGACCGCGCAGTCAATGACTGCGCGGTTCCGTCCCGGTTGCGGCGCAGGGCGACACCGACCCCACACCGCGCCCTCCCAAAGAGTTTGGGGGGCGGAGCCATGGCTCGAGAACTCCCACTCGAGCCATCGCCCCCCGCCTCCCCGGTGGTCGCGACCCCCGGACTACCTAGAGGGTGACCCGGTTCGGCGTTCCACCAGGGGAGCCCTCACCAGAGGGCTCCTCTCTGAAGGAAAGGAACCCCCTTCCGTGGACGGCGTTGCCCTCCCGCCGGTGCCTCCTGGCTCCCGGCGGGAGGGCCCCGCGCATCACGTCTTCACAGAGGGGGACCCAGGCGCCCCGGCCTGACAGACAGCGCCTGCCCGTCGGGGACGCGTGGCCCCCCCCCCGGCCCCCCAGCCGCGTCCCCCCCCCGCTCCTTTGAGAGCCAGGGATCGGCCGTGGCCGGAGGGGTTTGCCCTAGCCGGGCACATAGAGCGTCCCCTTATAGTGGAGTGACGCACCCACGCGCCCGGCCCGCGTGAGGCTCCCGGGGGGGAGGGCCCTTGGGACTTGTTGACTAGTTGTCCCCGCCCCCCCCCCCGAAACCCTCATCCCGCGTCAATTATTGACGCGGGTATGTTTGAGACGGACCCCCCCCCCCCCGATCCACGCCGTTACAAACGGGCAAGCCCATCGGCGGCGCGGAAAGAGAGGGCCCGGCCCCTCCTCCCATGGGTGCGTTTCTCCTTTGGAGGTCGTACCCCCCCCGGTCCCCACCACCCCCGGCGGGCGGACCCGCCGACGGGGGAGGAGGGGAAGGAGGCACACCCCCCCGTCTGTTTGGTTTCTTCTTCTTCTTCCTCCCTTTCTTCCACGCCCACCAGGGGCGCCCCCTCTCCGATCCCCGGCGCCACAAACAAGCGGACCCGCCGATGCCGGGGAAAGAGCGGGGACGTCCCCGCCCTCCTCCTCTCTCTCCTCCCCCATTCTCTCTCTCTCCCTCTCCGCCTCCTCCTTCTGCAGCATGACTTCGCCGCAGAAGGAGGAGAACGTCCTCCATGCGTCCTCATTGTCTGTCATTGCCCTCACTACCGAGGGCAATGACAGATCCCTCCCCACCGCGGCCACGAGCCTCTCTCTCTCTCCCGCCCAGGCAACACACTCAGCGAGTGTATGCTGGGCGGTGTCGCGCTCGTGGCCGCAGTGATGGCACCGCGTCGTGCGCTCTTTACCAATCCTGTGCAGGTACTCACCGAAACACCCATGTCCGGTGAGCACCTGCGTCATGTAGTAGGACACCCCACCTTTGGCCCTGTCTAGCCAGTTTTCTAGACAGGGCCGTATGGCCCCGACGGTGCGCTGTCCTGGCAGTGTTGGGTCCGCCAGGAATTCCTTCCAACTGTAACGGTTCACCTTTCCCGACGCCGCGGATCGGCTCGCCGGTTCCAGGATTCGGGAGGAAGGGGGAGATTCAGACTCGCTTATTCCTTATTAACAATACTTTGGTTTATTCAAAAAGAAACAAGTAAACAAAATGATTGTTGGCATAGAGCCTAAATAGAGAAACTTATTGACTACTCGGTATAAACGAAATGTTTGTTGGCATAAAGCCCTAAATAGAGAAACTTATTGACTACTCGGTATAAACAAAATAAGGAGGCGTATAGCCTGTAGCGGTGTCCGGAAAAGATTTACAAATTACCCGGTATAACTTAGAGATACGGTGTACGGTGGCGTATAGCCTATGGCAGGAAGAAACCGGAAACCGGGAAACCCGGCGTAATGACGAGAAACCCGTCACCCGGTGTATAGCAGGAAGAGACCGGAAACCGGGAAACCCGGCGTAACAACGAGAAACCCGTTGCCCGGCGTGTAGCAGGAAGAGACCGGAAACCGGGAAACCCGGCGTAACAACGAGAAACCCGTTGCCCGGCGTGTAGCAGGAAGAGACCGGAAACCGGGAAACCCGGCGTAACAACGAGAAACCCGTTGCCCGGCGTGTAGCAGGAAGAGACCGGAAACCGGGAAACCCGGCGTAACAACGAGAAACCCGTTGCCCGGCGTGTAGCAGGAAGAGACCGGAAACCGGGAAACCCGGCGTAACAACGAGAAACCCGTTGCCCGGCGTGTAACAGGAAGAGACCGGAAACCGGGAAACCCGGCGTAACAACGAGAAACCCGTTGCCCGATACTAAAGGTAGGAGGCCAGAAACCGGGAAACCCGGCGTAACAACGAGAAGCCCGTTGCCTGGCTAGGAGGTCTGGAGCAGGACTGGTGCCGGCTCATCCGTCGAGCCGGCTTATATACCCTGCCGGCGGTTCCCCCACTCTACCTCGAGGCTGTGGTGGGGGTAACGCCGGCGTCGTAGTGGGGCGCCTCTGGGGGTTGTAGTGGGGCGCCCCTGGGGTAGGGTGACCCGTGTATCAGTTAAGATTTTGTGCTTAGGGGCGCCTTAGGCGCCATAGCCTCAAGTGGCGGGCGGGTGATCGGCCCGCGAGGCGTTAGTAACGGCTACGCCGTTACACTACCCCCTCCCTAGACGGCGGATCGTACGGGGTCGGCCGAATCGGTGGCTCGGATGCTCAGATCCCCGACGCTGAGCACGTCCGCCCGACGGATGTACAATTGGTACTCCGGATCCATGTTTTCGTAGAGCTGTTCCAGTTGGTCTAGGGGTGAATATCCCCCGGCGCGCCGCATCATGGTCAGGACCTCGGTGGCGTACTTTTGGAAGGACTCTTTAGGGCGTTGTTGACGTCCCTGGATCGTCCTTTTTATCTGTCTCTCATACCCGCTTGGCAGGTATTGCTGGCGGACAGCTTGGCGAAAGTCGGCCCAGCTGGCTATGGTATCGCGGATGTTGCGATACCACAGCAGGGCGTCTCCCCGTAAGAGTTCGGGTAGCCCTAACAGCATCTGGGCGTACGCTCGAGGAATGCCAGGGGGTCCTTGCCCTCGAAGTGGCACCCCCATTTTCGGATCTGGTCCATGATCCTGGCTGGTTCAACAGGTGTCGGAGTGGTAGCTTCTTCGTCTTTGGTTGGGCTTCCGGTGGCCATTTCGACGTTGATAGTGGGCACAGGTAGGTGAGTTCGAAATAGCGCGGGGTTTTGCCCGACAAATCGGCGGAGGCGTCGGCGGACCTCGTCTAAAGTTCCTTGGCTATCGATTCCGTGTCTTTTGGCCAAGGCAATAGCTTCGGTTTTTGATAATTGATTTACCCACGCGGGCATCTGGATAGGCTTAAGCGAGTCGGGATCTCCACTGGGCAGGTCCCTGTTCGGGCGCCATGTAACGGTTCACCTTTCCCGACGCCGCGGATCGGCTCGCCGGTTCCAGGATTCGGGAGGAAGGGGGAGATTCAGACTCGCTTATTCCTTATTAACAATACTTTGGTTTATTCAAAAAGAAACAAGTAAACAAAATGATTGTTGGCATAGAGCCTAAATAGAGAAACTTATTGACTACTCGGTATAAACGAAATGTTTGTTGGCATAAAGCCCTAAATAGAGAAACTTATTGACTACTCGGTATAAACAAAATAAGGAGGCGTATAGCCTGTAGCGGTGTCCGGAAAAGATTTACAAATTACCCGGTATAACTTAGAGATACGGTGTACGGTGGCGTATAGCCTATGGCAGGAAGAAACCGGAAACCGGGAAACCCGGCGTAATGACGAGAAACCCGTCACCCGGTGTATAGCAGGAAGAGACCGGAAACCGGGAAACCCGGCGTAACAACGAGAAACCCGTTGCCCGGCGTGTAGCAGGAAGAGACCGGAAACCGGGAAACCCGGCGTAACAACGAGAAACCCGTTGCCCGGCGTGTAGCAGGAAGAGACCGGAAACCGGGAAACCCGGCGTAACAACGAGAAACCCGTTGCCCGGCGTGTAGCAGGAAGAGACCGGAAACCGGGAAACCCGGCGTAACAACGAGAAACCCGTTGCCCGGCGTGTAGCAGGAAGAGACCGGAAACCGGGAAACCCGGCGTAACAACGAGAAACCCGTTGCCCGGCGTGTAACAGGAAGAGACCGGAAACCGGGAAACCCGGCGTAACAACGAGAAACCCGTTGCCCGATACTAAAGGTAGGAGGCCAGAAACCGGGAAACCCGGCGTAACAACGAGAAGCCCGTTGCCTGGCTAGGAGGTCTGGAGCAGGACTGGTGCCGGCTCATCCGTCGAGCCGGCTTATATACCCTGCCGGCGGTTCCCCCACTCTACCTCGAGGCTGTGGTGGGGGTAACGCCGGCGTCGTAGTGGGGCGCCTCTGGGGGTTGTAGTGGGGCGCCCCTGGGGTAGGGTGACCCGTGTATCAGTTAAGATTTTGTGCTTAGGGGCGCCTTAGGCGCCATAGCCTCAAGTGGCGGGCGGGTGATCGGCCCGCGAGGCGTTAGTAACGGCTACGCCGTTACACAACTTTGGATCAGCACCCGTCGGGAGTGGACCCTCACAGTACGCCGGAGACTTTCCGTCATAGTGATGCCCGCCCGCTGGTATCCACGCGTGCGCGTGTACACCTCAGCATACATGCGGGCGAGCATCTCAACGGGGGGCACTCCGGAAAGCACCCCCGTCGCCGCCCAGCTGACCGTACGGTAGCCCCTGCATATCCTGTTGGCTACCCGCTTCTGCACCTGTCTCAGTGCATCTCTGGGACCGCGGGCAGCCCCCAGGCATTTCGACCATACTGGGGCCCCGTACAGCAGCATGGCGTGTACAGTCCCGGCGTACAACTTCCTTACACTTCCGCCAGGTCCCCCGAGATTGGGCAGCAGGCGTTGTAGTGCCATTGCTGCCCTCTTCACTTTGGGGGATATGCGGCGGAAGTGTTCTTGGAAGGTCCACTTATTGTCAAGGTGGAGGCTCAGATATTTCATGCAGGCCCCCACCTCTATTGGGGTGTCCTCCACTGTGATGTGGACTCTCGGCGGCGCCCCGTGAGAGCCATCATGCAAAAAGATGGCCTCGGTTTTCTGGGGCGCCACTTTGAGTCCCATCCTCCTTACGTAGCGCACGACGCGGTTGATCGCTATGTTCGTCCGAGCGGTCGCGTCTTCCCACGAGGTCCCCCCGACCATCACCAGTGTGTCATCCGCGTAACACACCGTGTGACAGCCAGGGGGGAGGATGCTGTCATCACCTAAGATAAGTGGAATAATTAGTTATATGTGTAGTGAACAAAAAGAAATATGTGCTGAGATACACAGAAGTTGCCTTTAATTGTACAATGACTATAAGCTATATCTTTAGATATTATAAACTTTAATATTTAGTTTAACGTTAATAATAGTCTTAATAAAGCTTTTTTCGGGGTAATACGTTTAATACATATAGTAAAAGACAATTTGATAATTATAACAATTATTAAATACACATTAACTCTTGAGTAATATTTTCTGTAATTACGTTTTATATCTCAGTGCTATTAATCTTGTGACTTTTTCTCTTGTCGAGCTAACCAGTGATATTCCATGCTTTTGACTCTTGGTGCGTGCATGGTAAACATATAATTAAATAAATAATTAAATAATAAATGACTCTCTATCAATAATAGTAATTACATATACTAAACTACGTAACTATATGATATTGGAAGCTAAAAGTTGTTTTTAGCATGATGTCAATTATAATAATTACCTGATGCAAAGTTAATACCTTCTAATTAGAATTTATATCATTCTGTGCATACATCTTGAATATACAAAAATTTATAATCTTTCCTGTAATAACAGACTTTTGACATTAGTATTGCGGCGGTGAGTGATGTCCTCTTTGAGGTTATATGAGCTGTCCTTATGGCATATGGATGGGATGCTTCCCTTGTCATTGCATCCTAAATATGCATCTGAATCCTAGGAAATGCATATGATAAACATATATAAATGATTATTGTTACATGATTCTCTTCTGATAACAATATTTATAGATATTAAATATCTATTCAATTAAATATGATTTATTAATATTTTTATTATTATATACCTGCTTTAGACTGTTTGACGTAATTTATAAACCTTGAATTGTGATACATACATATCTGACTGCTTGTGTTGTCAAAATGACATATTGTAACAATTGGGGTTATGTCTCTCTCGGAGAATGTTTTCTCTCGGGAAATTGAGTTTAAGATGCAAAGGGACATCGACGCGCCATCTCTGAGTGAATGGCTGTACTCGGTTGCCAAAGTTCCAAACAATCATGAACTGTGATATAGATGTGAAACTCGATGTGCCTCTTCGCGTTATAAAAGTTACTAGATATAGGGGAAACTTGAAAATTGGACAGATTCGAATTTCTCTCTTATTTATTGAATAATAAGGTGTTATTTAAACAAAAAGACATTGTTTATTGAACAATTTGGTAAACTTTACTAAATTAAATATATATTTTGTACTTTGTGTGTACTTTTATATATAACTGGACTATTGATATATGAAAGTATTGGCAGCGTATATTGAGTGATTGTATTATAATATAGATATGAAACTCGATGTGCCTCTTCGCGTTAAAATTACTAGATATAGAGGAGACCTCATAGTTGGACAGTTTTAAGTTTCTCTCTTAATCGCTCAATAATGGGGTGCTATTTAAACAAAAAGACACTGTTTATTGAATAATTTGGTAAAATTTATTAAATTAAATATATATCTTGTATTTTGTTTGTACTTTTATATATAACTGGACTATTGATGTATGACAGTATTGGTAGCGTATATTGAGTGATTATGATATAGATGTGAAACTTGATATGCCTCTTCGCGTTACTAAAGTTACTAGATATAGGGGAGACTTGATAAATTGGACAATTTTAAGTTTCTCTCTTATTTATTAAATAATAAGGTGTTATTTAAACAAAAAGACATTGACTATTGAACAATTTGGTAAAATTTACTAAATCAAATATATACTTTGTACTTTGTGTGTATTTTATGCATAATTGGACTAATGACATAGAAGAGTATTGGTAGCGTATATTGAGTGACTGATGTTGTTATTGCTTGCGTTCTGTTTTAATCAATAGGTGAACGTAAGCGATTTATGATACTATAAGCGTCGAGAAACATCTCTACAGATATTGCGGCATCTCCTCCTCAAGTAACTTTGAGGTCTGGAAGATTGCTGTTTGTGTTACACGCTATTAATTAATAATATTTGATAAATGAGTTGAATTACTGCATTGATCCTGGTTGTTGTGTTAGTAACATTAATGGAATTTTTGCAGATTATCAATTAAAACATTTTTCACATTACTGACATTACATTGCGTTGATTAGTATTATATATACATACATTTACTAAAATGGAGTCAGTTGACGATATAATAGCACGGCTGAATGAGGCCTCTTTCACACCTACGATGTTTTTAGGGTGTGCATTAGGCTCCATTAATAGATTGCGTAATAGTAGTCTCCCAAATCGCTCGGAGCTATATGTAGAGCTCAATAATATTGAAGCATGCATTAAAAGCATATACAGTCAAGGTTATAAAATGTTTGTGCCCGGTCGTATCTTTTGGGTAGAGTTGCTAGGTACGAATCACTTTTTAAAGATATGAACTTTGACAATACTGTCCGGATGGTTTCTCCTCCAAACACTGATGTTAAAGAGGTGAGCATGCGCAGACTAAACAATACTTCATCTGGCCTGAGCGAGATGGCTCCTTTAAGTCAATCTATGATTGATTCGGTGGAATCTCAGCTTACGGATTTGGCTAGGATGATACAGATGAACAAAACGGAAGACGCTTTAATACATGTAGGTCACTCTATTAGTGACAAGAAAGCTGAGTTGGAAAAGCTGAGTGAGGAATTTTATGCAATTTCCTCCTCAATGATTTATGAAGATAGAAATACGCTGGATGGATTATACTTAAGTCAACTTGGTAATCCTATGGTTCATGATCACAAGGGAAGGACACTCTTGGAAAAACCAAATCCTTTATATGAAAACATGGCAAACACAACGGTAAATGAAATGAACTTACTGTCGCAGGAGGTTGTCGGAGCCTCCAGCGATCGGCATGGCGGAGTTGTTGTCCCCGGCTCCGCCTTGTCGTCATCAAACAAGGGGCTGGCCTGCTCGTTGCCGTTGGGCGAGCAGGTTGATATAGCGACCACGGATTTAGATAATCTTCCTGGTGAAGTCAACTATGAACACATGGAGGTTGTTATGGCGGATGTTGATGCCCCATGCGACCCTCCTGAGTGTGACGATCCAAATAGCGATCCTTTGAACGTTGCTAGAAGTGAGTCATTAGAAATTGTTGGTGACAAGTTTAAATCACCCTCTATTGAGGCAGATAATTGTGTTGCGTCAGCTGAATATACTGTCTCTAAGCGAAAGGCTGATGGATCGCCGGAAGATGACACAATTACAACTGATAAAAGGATTCGTAAAATCAGACTGATTGATAGTTCTGAACAGGATTCAGATGAAAAAGAGGATGATCATGCTGTACCCTCTACTAGCAAGGATGCGGATGAAGATGCTGATGATGAGGATAGAGTTTTACGAAAGAGGAGGAGCAATATCAAGGCTAGGAGGCGAAGTAAAAGAATTGCTGCAGCGGGTGACAAGGAAATTATACTTGAGTCGAGCCCTGTGATTATATCTGATGATGATAATGATGTTGTGGCGGCATTGGATATATCTGCTGGTGAAGGAACTGATGTGCCCAGGAAACTAACCAAGAACAAAAAGAAAAGTACTTTGACTGCTAGGTTAAGGTCAAGTAAAGAAAAAAGTCCGAACGTTGACTTGGATGCGTCTGATTCCATGTTTACATGTGATTCAGATGTTTCCATTAGGATAAAGGTAAGAGATTTAGTTGCTATGAGTAATGGACAGGTGGCGTCGTATGGTCTGTCCTTGATCAGCAAAACAGATAGCCTGCGAGTAAATAGTACGAACGTTTCCGGTAAGTTTAACGGCTTATGGCGAAAATACATGATGCAGCTGGAGGATGTTGTCAGGGCATATGGTCATAAGATACAGGCTCAGGGCGATGTAGCCCATCTGCGTTGTAAAAATGAAGAATTAATGGAAGAAATAACAGAATCCTGTAGACGCGAAGAAGAAATAAAGATGCAATTAAAACAACATAGAGATATGATTGATGAACTTAAAAAAGAAGTAAATTTGCTTAAGAGTAAAAATAGAGGTGAGGATATATTGAGATCTAAAAAAGTAGATAGAAATAAGATACTTACCACGGATTAGAGTGATGATGAATCCAGTATGGTTGCTCAGTCCCCTGCTACTTCTCGTGATGATGAATCCAAGATTGTTCGTGATGCTATGGAATGGGCCTTGGAGTCGGCTGGGTCGGCCTGGAGCCCGCCCAGATCTGCTAACCTATGTGAAAAGACTTACATTACATCTAGGGTTTTTCGTAATACAGGTGTTGATAAAAGAGCAATTGAGGACGACAAGATTTTTCACCCCCCTATGAGTAACCCGAGACTCAAGGGTATTAAGATAATTGAGAACAAGCAGGTTGTCCCGCCGAGGAAGATAAGGAGTCAACCCACTCCAAGGATGTCGATGGCTAGGAAAGAGGAGGATTTTCCTTCTCTTCCTTCTCCTTCTTCTGTGATACGTCAGAGTTCTGGTGGATCTCACGATGGCACATCCGGGATTTGACCTATTAACAAAAGTAGTAAGGTTAGTGTTAATAAACCTAAAGTAGGTAAGCGTAAGGTGGCCGTTGTCACCATTACTTGTAAGCCTGGTGTAGATACCTCATGTGCGGATATTCTTAAAGCCGCAAGGCAGAATGTGTCTCTTGAAGGCCTGGGAATTAGCGAAACCAGGATCCGTAAAGCCTTTAATGGCGGATATAAGATCGAGGTCCCTGGTGAAGGAGGCCTTGAATTGGCTGGTAAGCTCAAAGACAGATTAGAGGTTGTGCTACGCGATGTGGCCAAGGTGGATAATCCTGTTGCGCGAGGAGAACTGAAAATTTCTGGTCTCGCTCCTTCTACTTCCACGGAGGAGATTAGGGATCACCTGGTTCAAATTAGTGGTTTTACATCAATGGCTTTTAATATAAGTGACATTAAAAAGATGCGGGATGGTATGGGAATTGCGTGGGTTCAGTGCCCCCTAAACGCGGCAATTCCTATTGCGGAAACTGGCCGATTGCGCATTGGATGGACTTTTGCGAAAATTGAACTATTGAGAAAGCGCCCTGTTCAGTGTTACAAGTGTTGGCAATTTGGGCACGTCAGGTCCAATTGTGCTGCCTCGGAGGATAGATACGGTTGTTGTTTTAAATGTGGTAGCAATGAGCACAAGGCTAAGGAGTGTTCTGCTGCCCCACACTGCGTCATCTGTTCATCTGCAGGGAAAACTAGCAGTCACCGTATGGGATCATATGCTTGCCTCATAAACAATGGCTACGAATCTGTGAGACGGGTGGATCGTGGACAATCCGAGCAGTCTCATAATTATGGCCACTAAAATTCTGCAATGTAACCTTAATAGGTCCTGGCTGGCATTTGATTTGCTACGCCAGCAGTGCATTGAGCTAAATATTGATCTAGTGGCTATTTCGGAGCCTCCTGTTGGAACTAATATACTTGCAAATTGCTTTTATAGTAAGGATGCACTGGCTGCTGTGATGCTGTTTCCTGACACTAGTATTAGAAGCAGACTATTTGTAGCCCTCGAAAATATTGTCGTTGTGGAATATAATGATTTTTATATTGTGTCTTGCTATATATCACCTAATAGCTCGAGAGATGTCTTTGGTGATTTCATTGATAATCTGGATGATACCATCAAACGATTACGTTACAAAAAAGTCCTTGTTTGTGGAGACTTCAATGCTAGGTCGTATCTTTGGGGATCCAAAACCACCGATAGAAGGGGTACACTGGTCAACCTTGTAACATCATCAAACGGTTTGTTCTTGGTTAATGTAGGTGATTCGCCGACTTGCGTTCGTCCGCAAGGTGAATCAGTTGTGGATCTCACATGGGCCTCGCATAGTATGTTTAAGGATATAGATGATTGGCGAGTAATGAGTGATATGGAGACTTTATCCGACCATATGTATATCACTTTTACTTACCTGAATAAGATCCATAATGGGTCAGCATCTAGAACTGTGTCTCCTGTTGGCTGGAATTTTAAAAAAAT